ATAGTATAGTGCTGTGGTTAAGAGTTAGGGGTTTTGAGCCTGCCTGCTTAGGTTCACATTCTGATTCTTCCCCTTTCTATGTGGGTGACCTTGAGCAAGTTGTATAACCTCCCAGTGCCTCAGTTTCTGTTTCTGTGTATTGGGGATAATAACTTCAGAGGTGAATTACACATGATAAACTGAGCAAAGGGTGTAGAGAAATGCCTGCATAGCTAGATTATTATTGTTTTGGGGTGTGAATATGTCTGATAAGTAAAACCTCTCACACATACATCCCATGTTCAAGATGAGAGATAAACAAGAAGTCAGTGGAATGGGTGGAGATTCAAAATATTATCTTTATTACTGGCAGAGGCTTAATTGGACAGTGTGGTTTAGAGTTTTGGCCAAGAATGTGTTCTGGAGATAAGGCAGCTCTGGAGATTAAATCCCAGGCTTACCCTACCCCTGCCTTCCAGGGGAGCAGGACACGTGTGTGCTGCCTCCGCCCTGCTGGCTTCTAAAGCGGAAAGGACTGGGTTGGGGGTACAAAGGGTGGTGCAGCTGGGGCAGGCCTGGGTCCGTTTCCCAGCCTGCTGGGTCAGGCATGTCTCTCCCTTCCCAGGATCTGGGCCGGAGGCCTGGTCACTGCCACTTCCCGCTCCTACCACTTTTTTTTGAGGGCCAGGGTAACCTTTGGTTTTCTCTACATGGATGTGCACATTGTGGTGCTTGATGCGTCTTTGCTGAATAAATGTAGACTGTTAGGCAGTAATTTGCTAGAAAGTATCAGGTATATTCTATATTGATATCTGAGAATGTGAAGCTATCACTGATACACTAATGTAATGTAAACTAATATAATAATGAATGTCAACTGCAATTAAAAATTAAAAATGATTTTAAAAATTGCCTGTGTTGTCCTTGATGAAATATGGTAGTTTACATGTGTTTAAGAGCCTGTACTGAACAGTGGCTTGCTCTTGAAGAATTTTCCTTCTGAGTTGTAATTATTCCTTTGAAGTAAGAGTGGAGAAGAGGAGTCTCATTAGAGACTTCTCCCTTAAAAATAATTATATGTATAGGTATTTTTTGTTTCTTTGCTTCATATGAAGTCATTTTAAGCTGAAGATGTGGCGTATACCTTCAAATAAAATTTTCATTGTCTCTAAATTTATATAGGCAAGAGAAAACTAAGCATAGTTCAGAGAGTTTTTGGGAGGTAATTAGAAAAGTTATTAGGAACGGACACTTGTAGTGATATAGTATATTCATTAAAAATATTTTTAGAAATTTTATCAGTTTAATATATGAGAGTGAATCACATTGCCTTCATTAAATCAACATAAAATATACCTACTTTGAAAACTTTTGATATTTAATTAAATATAGAAAAGGACTTCCTGACTTAAAAATTATTTTAGGATAGAAAGTAGAAAGAAATCTATAGAAAAGGAAAATGACATAATTGTAGCGCCCAAATGTAATAATAGTTTTGTTGCTATTAAAGTTTCTCTGTGGGTAAAAATTTTAACGGTGACATAATATTTCATCTTATGGATGTGCCATCGGTAATTGTTTCCTTATTTTTAAACATTGAAGCTGTTTCTAAGCTTTTGCTACTATAAATAATGTAATGCTTTACATTCTCAATAGAATATGAGCTCCATGAGGGCAGGAATTTTGATGTTCGCTGCGTTAGTCCCCAGCACCTAACACATAGTAGGCATTCAGTAAATATTTTTTAATGTTGTTGAGGGAATTTTGTCTAAATCTTAAGGAATCCATTTTTCTTGACTCTAACTCTTCCTAGAAGAGTGGAAAAGGGACGCGAAGGAGATAATTAGGTTGCCTGTTTTGAAGTATTTTTGGAGATGTAGCTGGAATATAGCTTCCTTCGAGGCTATCGATGCATTAAATAACTACTTTTCACTCGGGTTCTGTTTGGAAGAACCCTTAACCCCAGAGTGTCCATTTTTACTTCCCCATAAGGATGCTACTGAGGACAGAGGGCATTATGAGGCAATACCTCTCCTCACACTGGGATATTGTTATTGTTATCTTCTAGAAGCTTCTTTAAAGCCTTGTGTTTTTTTCAGAAATGATTTTTAAAAATTTGCTGTCCATAGTCCATTTCCCAGCCCCACACTTCATTTTATTTAGCAGAGCTTCATTGCATTAACTTTTCCTCTCCACAGATATCACTGCATCCTTCTCACCTTCTGATAAATACTCTCTTATCTTTAGTCCAGTATGTCTTGTCCGGCGTTGCCCTGAACATCCGCTGAAGTCGGGGATCTTTTCCTTTCTAGTCTTTGCCCACTGGCCTCCCTTCTGTGTTGCTGACTCTCTTGCAGCTTTTCCTGCCCCACTTATTTTGAAGGCAAATTGCATGTTACATCAGCTTGTGTAAGGAAAGCTGCTAAAAATGAGGACAATTGACCTATTAGAGCAAAGAATTAGAAGAGATGTTGCATGCTCCGTTTGTAACTTACAAACCCACATTTCACTTCTTAACAGGACCGGTGTTAGGGAGGTGGTTGCTGCATTGGTGGGAGGGGCCAGTGGTGGCAAGGTCCCAGCACTCCTGCTCTAAGATTCCGTGGTTCAGTGGCATCAGGCAAGAGCGTCTCATTTTTCAGTTGACTGAGGGATTGATGTATTCGTTCCTCTGACTATTCTGCATCTGCCTCCTCTGGACGTGGGTTTTATTATTGACCTTACCACTTTGACCTGGTCATGTGGTGTGGTCTCATCTCTTTCTTAGTGGCAGCTCCTTCTCAGCATTACCGTTGCAGGGATGTAAATGACACGCTGATCTACTTACCTGAGCTTCCAATCACTGAGCTTCTTGGTATCCTCTCTCCTACTCTTCTCCTTGATTGGAATGTCCCTTTTATTCGTTTATTTTTCAGGTTCATTTTAGGGCCTTGTTTATATGTTGAAAAGAGCACATGAAGAGTGGGCAGACTTAGTTTGCTCAGTCTCTTATTATTTTAATTGTAGATCATCCAGAAGCGTTACGTCAGTGGTTTGTATTTCTGGCTTCATTTAGGAATCACCTAGGAAGTTAAAAAATCCTTATTCCCAGGTGTCACTCAGACTAATGATGTCGCTAAACTGCAGGAGGATGACCCAGGCATCAGGGTGCTTTAAAAAGTTCCCCAGGTGATTCCAGGGACAGCCAAGTTTGAAAAGTTAAGGTTAGACTAAAGGTGCAATTGTACAATTTCACTTCTTTTTGTGATTCACTTTCTGCTTTAAATTTTAAATGGAAGTGTACAGTGTCATGTGTATTAGCACATGTGTATTTTCAAGAGAGAGTGGTGTGATTGGTGATAACTGTTGACCCTTAAACTTTGTACAGTTTGGAAGGGTTTGCTGACGGATGGGTAATGGGTAGGTTGAGAGAGTCTGGGTGGATCCTTCACATCTGTCATCGTCTCTAAAATAAAACCTAACGTGCTTTGCTTCTCCTATCAGGTCAGTTTCTCATAGCAAGTACAGTGGTAGCATGTATGTGCTTAAGTGTGTGGCCTGCATTTTGCATACATTTAGTCTTTTAATCCATGTATTCACTCTGGGAAGTAGTCATTTTTTGTCTATTCTGCAGACGAAAAATGGCCGCTCAGAAATAATAAGTAATTTGCTAGTGGCTGCACCTCTGGTAATTGGCAGTGCTGGGAGTCAGGCTCGGGCCAGAGCTCAGAGTTCTGTGAGGCCAGAACTCAGGATTTCTCGTGGTACCATGTTGAGCTCTTCCCATTTCAATGTGAACGGAACACTAGTAAAGGCTGTTTTGTTAGTGTGCAAGAGAGCCTTCTTTATAAATGTTTTCAGATTCCCAGATTTTTTTTTTTAATTCTGTGTATTTTTCCAAAGAGCTCATGGTACTTTTATAGTTTTTTAAGTGACTTCCCCCCATTTTTCCTTCTAGAGAAGAAACAGGTATTAACTTTATTTTAATATTCAGGATAGATGTGCACTGAGAGTAAAAGTTATTATGTACTCCACTCAGGTTGTGGAAATTCTGAGCAGAATGCTTTTCTTGGGTATGTGAACTTGGTACCGTTGACTTTCATCTGTAGATGTTTTTGAGTTGTCATCCCAAGACAGACGTGTTCCCCGCTCCCCCACCCCGCGATTTCCCGGTGAGGGGCAAGACTTTGGAGAGCAGTCATCTGGGGTCAAGAGTAGAGTGTGTGACGATGGAATGAGGGGAAGCTAAGAGTTGCCCAGGATCATGTGGGGCTTCAAAAACGCTGCTCCCCCTCGAGAGAAGGGACAGCCAAGAGGCTTCTGATGTAATGGAAATTGGAAATCTCGGAGAAATGAGTGGATTAAAACTAACTCTTTGTTACAGTAAATAACCTACCCTATTTTAGAGACATTTGACATCTTTAGAAAATTAATACTGTCATTCAGCTTACCAGCAACAGTTTATTTTCGGTGGCAATAAAAGCCATTGACTTTTTCTGTTTGGGGAATTGAAAAGAAATGTTGTGAAGAGCTGGGATGCACTGCTTGAGAGAAATGAACGGGATGGACTCACTTTCACATCTGTTGTAGTAATGAAGCATTTGTGAGTCTGAGTAGAGCACTAACTAGTGTAGCCTCTCCAGAGACCATCCTCTCGCTGTCAGTTTGGACATTGAGTGTTCAGTGCATATGACCCCTTTTTGGGGATCCCTCTCAGGGAGTGTGAGGCCCGATGGCTGTATCTAGAGCCGGAGCTGAGCAGGCTGGCGGGTTATTTATCGTTCTGCTCTTCAGAGCAGATTTCCTAGCAGATTTTTGTTGAGATCCATCAAGGACTTTTGTGACCTGAGTATCAATTTAAGACAATGACATATCTATTAATACTGTGGACACGAGAAATTTAAACAGATTTTAAGCAGAAAGTATGAAAATTGCAAAATGATGTGTAAGTTAATGTGGGTTTGGCTTTGTTTCGTTTTTGTTTTTTGTTTTTTGTTTTTTAACTAACCCTTCTGCACTCTTTTCCTTTCATGTTCACATAGAAACCTGATGTCCTCACCACTGGGGCCGGTCATCCAATAGGAGATAAACTTAATATCATGACAGTAGGGGCGCGGGGGCCCCTTCTTGTCCAGGATGTGGTGTTCACTGATGAAATGGCCCACTTTGACCGGGAGAGAATTCCTGAAAGAGTTGTGCATGCTAAAGGAGCAGGTGAGAGCGATGTCCCTTTGTTGTAAAAGGATTGTTTCATAAGACCGGGGTTAAAAATTACTGTTCAAAGGCTTGGAGCTCCTTTAATAGAAGTGCCAAATCTCTGTTCTTGGGAGAAAGGGAAAAAAATGTCCATCAAAACAGTAATTAGTAATTAAATGTTGCTTATTTACTTGGATTGAACATTATACATAAAATACTTTATTTTACCTAAAATAAAAAGTAATCTTCCATTTCTTTCATTATGCAGCTTAGTGAAGAAATAAAAATATGGATATACAGACACTGACATGCTATAAATGTTACTAGATTTAGATGGTGCACTAACTGAATAAATAATGGGATGAGCTATGGAAAATTGAGGATAGTTGTGTTAGGGTGGTGGGTTTGTGGTGATTTTATTTTTTTGGTCTAAAACTTCTATAAAGCTTTTATCTTGCTTATATTACAGAAACAAAAGATAGAGGAAGTGTTTAAAAGAAAGCTAAAAACACAATAGGAAAAAGAAAACTTGATAGAAAGGAAGAAAAAGTTTTTCTCTTAGCTGCTTACTTGGACTCCCTAATTTCTTTATTTGGACTTCTTAATTTCTTTATTTCTTTTTCCACCGTCTCAAGTTTTTTTTTGCATGGTTTTTCCATGGTGACTTTGATATGTTGTTCAGTTTGCTGTTTGGCTCTGCGGTGCCCTTCCTACGGGTTTATTCTTTCTTTCCCTGCGTTGTCTTCTCTCCCTGTTCTTTCTCTCCCAAATCCTACCACCTTCACTTCAAGGCTGTCTCAGGCCATGTGTCCTTGGGGTGACCTTGACTAGTCAATGCCAGCTCCATTCCTCCACCTCTTGGCTCCAGCTGTGTAGCACTGAATTTAGCACTGAATGATAATAGGCCTTTGCATTTTACTCTCATCTTTTTGTTTTTGGACATCTCCCCTTTGCCCATCATATTGGAAGCTCCCAGAAGGCCAGTGCTAAACTGTCAGTTTCTCTTGGCGCTCAGATGCCTACTGAGGTTCTGATAATCTGAGTGGTGGTCTCATGGCGAGGGTGTCTGTGTCTTTCTCATTAGGGGCTTTTGGCTACTTTGAGGTCACGCACGACATTACCAAATACTGCAAGGCAAAGGTGTTCGAGCATATTGGGAAAAGGACTCCCATTGCAGTTCGATTCTCCACTGTTGGTAAGTTGGTCTTTTTGCATGAGTGGTATTCCTGTACCTTATTTGGGGCATTTGTAACTTAATTTCAGGAAAGTCTTATTAGAAGATAGAAAACAAGCACTTTTCCTAATTGTAGCCAGGTTTTACAGTAGAAAATATATTTTGAAACATGTAGGAAGTTACTTATAATTCTGTTTGTTGAGGTGTTAGGATATCACACCGATGCAGAAGCCGTATCTGCAGTTCTGTGACATTTGGAAAGAACTTGCCTAGAAGTGGTTGGCTCAAAAGGAAGCATGGAGTTGGTGCTGTTATTTAGTAACCGTGATAAAGCCCTTTATTGACAATTAACTCTATGCGGTCCATTCTTGACTGACATTAGCTATAATCTAATCTGTAGATTTATTTTACAAAATGGGATTGTTTCTATTTCAAAGAGGTTAAATGATTTTTCTCATGTAATAGAGCTAGTAAGAATTAGATCTATTGTGCTACATCTTAACACATTACAATGTTGTGACCCTGTTTCTATTTCAGTCTACGTTTGTGCATTTTAAAAATACTTTGGAATACAGAGATAAATGAAGTTAAGAATAAGAACCTATATTTTAATTCATTTTCTTAATATCAACTTCATAATTTTGATAACTCTTTTAATCTTCATAATTATTCTCTTCCCTTACTTCAATTTAAATTTTAATTTCCTATTTGAACAAAGCTTTCTCATTATGCTAAACTGATAATCTTTTCAGCTGTTATTATATATACAGGCATACCTCAGGATGTTGTGGCTTTGGCCTCAGAGTACCACAATAAAGCAACTATTGCAGTAAAGCCGGTCATAATCTTTCTGCTGCTGAGCGTCTTGCCCTCAACACAAAACACCGGTGATATAAGGCACAAGAAAGCGAAGCACAATAAAACGAGATATGCCTGTATTTTCTTATTACTTTTGGTTAATTCTTTTGTTTAATTTGTAGACCAGCTTAGCTGGTGGGTGGTAGAAATAACAACCTAGGCACTGAAATACCTAATTTACTTCTAGGAAATGGATTAGAAAGGCTAGATGCCAGTGTTTCTTAATGACTTTCGGCTTCTTGGATGCAAAGTGCTCTGCTGATGCTTCATTTTTCCCATTTGAATCTTTCAGCTGGAGAAGCGGGCTCAGCGGATACAGTTCGTGACCCTCGTGGGTTTGCAGTGAAATTTTACACAGAAGATGGTAATTGGGATCTTGTGGGGAATAACACCCCTATTTTCTTCATCAGGGATGCCATACTGGTAGGTGATAAAGAGTTTTGCACTTTATAGATGCTTGTTGATTTAAATCGATTTTAATACTCCATATAGATGGGCATGTGAGGGAAAGTCCTGGGAAAGGCAGAAAGAAAAGGAATTTGGGTCAGCTGGATTACCTTTTAAAACACATTTTTCTGTATTTAATATCTTTTTATATGATCAAATTTCTACAGTTAACCATAGGTCTTAGATTTGGCATTTTAGGATTCACTGACTTAATGGGAATAGTCCAGATTTCCTTCCAGAGTGTAGAAGATTAGTAAAAATACTTTGCCCTAGAAACAGAGGGTACATTTCATTTTAGGGTTTGGCAGTTTAAAATTCTTTGTTAATGTTCAGAATTATACTCCATAAACCCAGCAGTAGGCATTGTATAATATAAGACACCGTAATTCTTGTAAACTTAGTTTTGTTTTTTTTCCTCTTATTTTCCATTTAGTTTCCATCCTTCGTCCACAGCCAAAAGAGAAACCCTCAAACACACCTGAAGGACCCAGACATGGTCTGGGACTTCTGGAGCCTTCGTCCCGAGTCTCTGCATCAGGTGGGGGACACTTCTTTTTCCCTTAAGTTATCTCCTGGGATGAAACTGTAATTATGACTCATTATGTGTTTCTCCAGTTTTGACTATTTTATTGGAATTGGTTTCTGATTTTTGTTTTCAGAAGCTGCCTCAAATTTCTTGATCTTGGAAGAATTTTATAATGACCTATTTTATTAATCCTTCCTCATTCATAGACCTTAAGTAGCTAGAAATATTATCACTTGATATTTAGCAATATTAAAGATTGAAATCTCTAGTATGAAATGTTACGGAAATGAGGGGAAAGCAGAACGAAACAAATTTACTCTAAAAATAAATTTTGAATAACAAGTTAGGCTAGTGGTCACATTCGTTTTAGCTTTTCTTTATAGAATTTTGAGCCATGAGGTTAATGATTTATCTGTCATTCTGCTTTAAAATTCTTCTTTAAAAAAAAAAATGATAATAGTGAGAGACTTCTGGTTAAGATGGCGGTGTAGGCAGAAATGGCTCACCTCTTCACACAACCACATTAAACTTACATCTAGAATAGAGAACAGATATCACTCAGAACCACCAGAAATCAAGTTGAATATAAGTTTGACAACTATGGAATTAAAGAAACCACATCATTCAAGATTGGTAGGAGGGGTGCTGATGTGGAATGGGCTGGTACCTCACCCATGTGTGGTGGATAAAAATTCAGGAGGGTTATCTCAGTAGTGAGGAGTCCCAGCTCCACACCAGACCCTCCAGCCCAGGGTTCCAGTGCCGATGTTAAGTCCCCACAGATCCTGGCTGCAAAAACCAGTGGGGATTGAGTCAGTAGAAGAAGAAACTGCTGGAGCCTCATGCAGTTCCTCCTAAAGAATCCACACATGGACTCATGTACTCAGACTCACTCCCTCTGAGCTCCAGCACTGGGATAGAAGCTTGAAGGGCACCAGTGGCATACAGGGAGATAATGAAGTGTGTGGCATCAAAGCGAGCAGAGGCCATTGTCCCTTTTCTAAACCCTCCACTAACAGAGCTGGCAAGCTGGTGTCATATCTGAGACTCCATCACCCTGGCTAACACTGACCAGCCTTGGAGATCCCCAGAGACTCCGCCCCACCCAAATTACAGGCCCATACAAGCTGCTTTTCCATATGAATGGCTGTTCTTGGCTCATACGGCACAACCTCTTAAATCCTCTGAAACAAGAAACAGCTGGCCTCAGTGAGCCCCAGGCCTGGCATTAGCAGCAGCCAGCCTACATTCACAGCTTGGCTTCTCCTGGGAATGTCCAAGCTCAGCACAAGTAGCTGCCAACTCAGATTGCTTTATAGCTCGGGCAGGGTGGCCCCAGGCAAAACATAGGTGGGGGCTGACCTTGGCCTATACCACTGAGGAAACCCCAGGGTCAATGTACCCAGTGGATAGCTACAGAGTACATCAGAGTACTACCACCTTGCCCCTGTATAGCGCTTCTTCCATGGAGGGTGGAGATTGGTGGTAAGTGCTCACAGCCAATCCTTGTAGCTGATTGGCCTGGGTAAATCCCTCCCATTGGTCTGCCAACAGCAACCAAGTTTCAACTATAAGAGGAGGGTATACTCAGCCTACACGATGGACACACCTCGAGTACTCAGCTTGGGTGATAGGGGAGGCTGTGCCACTGGACCCTACATGCAGGACATCTAGTACGTTAGGCCACACTACCAAGACATGGAGTCAGAGCAGCGCTACCTAATACATAGAAACAGACACAGAGAGGCTGCCAAAACAAGGATAGAGAGAAACATGAAAGAACAGATCAAAACTCCAGAAAAAGAGCTAAACGAAATGGAGATAAGCAATCTATCAGATGCAGAGTTCACTGGTTATAAGGATGCTCGAGGAACTTAGTGATAACCTCAGCAGCGTAAAACAGACCCAATCAGAAGTGAAAGATACAGTAATTGAAATGAACAATTTACAGGGAAACAACAGTAGAGTGGATGAAGTCGATAATCTGGTCAATGATTTGGAACATATGGAAGCAAAACACAACCAATCAGGACAAGAAGAAGAAAAAGGATTCTAAAAAAGTGAGGATAGTATAAGTAGCCTCTAGGACAACTTCAGGAGGTACAAAATTCGCCTCGTAGGGATACCAGAATGAGAAGAGAAAGAGCAAGAAATTGGAAATCTACTTGAAAAAATAATGAAAGAAAACTTCCCTAATTTGGTGAAAGAAATAGACATACAAGTACAGGAAGCACAGAGAGTCCCAAACAAGGTGGATGCAAAGAGGCCCACTCCAAGACACATCATAATTAAAAAGCCAAATATTGAAGATAAAGAGAGGATCTTAAAAGCAGCAAGGGAAAAGAAGTTAGTAGCTTACAGGGGAGACCCCATAAGACTGTCAGCTAATTTCTCAAAAGAAACTTTGCAGGCTGGAAGGGATTGTCAAGAAATACTCAAAGTCATGAAAAGCAGGGACCTATAGCCAAGATTGTGCTACCCAACAAAGCTATCATTTAGAATTGAAGGGCAGATAAAGAGCTTCCCAGATAAGAAAAAACTAAAGGAGTTCATCATCACCAAACCATTATTACATGAAATGTTAAAGGGGCTTATTTAAGAAAAAGATCAAAACTATGAACAATAAATTGGCAAAAAATACATACCTTTCAACAATTGAATCTAAAAAGCAAACTAAGCAAATAAGAACAGAGACAGAATCAGGGATACAGAGGGTGTTTTGATGGTTGCCATATGAAAGGGGAGTGCGGGGAATGGGTGAAGAGGTGAGGGGATTAGGAAGTACAACTAGGTAGTTACAGAATAGCCATGGGGATGTCAAGTACAGTATAGGAAATGGAGTAGCCAAAGAACTTATACGCATGCCCCGTGGACATGAAAATGGGGGGAGGATTGCCTGAGAGTGAGAGGTACTGGGTGGAGGGGGGGAAAGGGGGAAAAATCAGGACAACTATAATAACATAATCAATAAAATATAATTTGAAAATAAATGATAATGGCAACCCTCCTTGTGGATACTTTGCTAATATGTTTGATACTGAGAACTTTCTGGAAATTTAACAGTGTTTTAAAAATCTAGGATGTTTTGATTTAAACAGAAAAAGTTTAGGCTTTGTTTTTCTGTTCCTTAGGTTTCCTTTTTGTTCAGTGATCGGGGGATTCCAGATGGACACAGGCACATGAATGGATATGGATCGCATACTTTCAAGCTGCTTAATGCGAAGGGAGAGGCAGTTTATTGCAAATTCCATTATAAGGTACATGTTGCCTTTGGGGCAAGGAGTGAAAGGCTCCCACTGCCCCATCTCCTTCCTTTTCCTGAGGATGGGGCAAAGAGCAAAAGACCAAGGCCTCTCCAGCCTTTCCCTTACTTCTGCACCCAAGGATGAGAAGTATTGATCTGTTTGATCGGTACAATGAGTATTTTGTTACCACCTGTTCCCCGTGCTCAAATAGACCGAATTCTGTGTGGTCTCTTTTTGGTCCCTTCATGTGTTCAGAGGGTAAAACCACAAAGCTACTGTCCAGTCAAGCTTTCTTCTTCTGGACCCTGGGAACTCTGCTGTATATATTTGGGAAAATGTTCCTTTTGTGCTGGTTTTTCTGTTTTAAAGTTTCTGGTGCTGAGAGGTGCACATTGAAATTCTTTCCTCCACGGAGAGGGAAGATCGAAGGTTTTGATATGGGCTCAAATGTAAGGAGTAAATACAGGCCTCTTGGTTAGGCCAAAGGAGATTTCTACCTAGTTTAGCCAAGCTTTCTGGAGTTCTTTGTTGTTTAGAGTCGAGCCTTAGCAGACAGGAAAGTATTATGCTTTGCCTTTCCTAGCTTTGAGTCATTGTTCTGATATCTTTTGGGGTCCAGTAGGGGACTAAGGGAGAATTGGGGCACTCTGTTGGTATACCTATCTCACTATGACTTTTAAAATCTGATGCTATCTTTCCAACATTTCTAACATTTAATTCATCCATTCATTTATTTAGCAGTTACTGAAGATATATTGTGAACAAAGAAAATAAGTAAAATCAATTACAAATGTCAAAAAACAAAAATTCTATTTTTTAAATTTACTTTTCTACAATCAGATCAAATCAGTTACCTTTGGGGAAGCTTTTGGGAACCTTTTAATTAAAGTTGTTTTTTTTTTTTAAGTTTTTATGTATTTATTTCTAGAGTGAGGGGAAGGGAGGGAGAGAGAGAGAGAGAAACATCCGTGTGTGAGGGAAGCTTTGATCAGTTGCCTCTCGCACTCCCCACCTGGGGCCCTGGCCCACAACCTAGGCCTGTGCCCTGACTGGGAATTGAATAGGTGACCTTTTGATTTGCTGCATGACGCCAACCCCACTGAGCCACACCAGTCAGGGCATGAAATGTTTTAAAAGGCTCTGTCTTAGAATGGTCTTGGCATTTGTTATGATAAGCAATAGTCCAAGAGAACCTCTGGCTGCCTAAGAACTTACTTTCAAAGACTACCGCTAAAGTAAGAAGAGACAGAAGTGGACTTGTGACAATATAGACTCCCTCTTAATGATATCACAAAGACTGGTTTTCTCCTGTCCTGTCTTAATGTTCATCTGAAAAGCTTGCGTAGGTGTATCAAACAGGAAGAATGTCACCCCTCTTTATTCTTAGGACTTGGATCTAATCTTAGGCAAGGAACATGTTAGCTTGTAATTGACCATTGGCTTGTAGTTGCCAAAAGGAGCGGTGTTGCAGATGAACTAAATGTGTATCTGGACAGCTGGGCTGGTTAGTGGCTTTGCAGTTAGACCAGCCTGAACTCAGGTCTTTTTTCTTCTATATATCTGTGACTTGAGCATATAATGAAAAGTTCTCTAAGCTCCGGTTTTGTCTATGTAAAGTTGGGATGTAATGCCAGCTGTTCAGGGTCCTGGAAAGATTGGATTGCTTCTGGGTCTGTTCAGCAGAGGGCCCTGAGATAGCCTGAGATCTACATAGGTTCATCCGTCTGGATCATTCTGACCTAAGAGTATTCTTTTCTAAGCCCAGTCTTGCTGCCGGCTAGAGCGAGTTGGGGCTTCTGTGGTTGTAATGGACCAGCCTTTCAGAGTTGACTTTTGCTAAGGGAATCTTTCTGTGGAACTTGGCTTGATGGGGATCTTTTAGAGTAAGATATAGGTGGGAAATTTATTGAAGATCAGTATGGTATGATAATGGGAGTACTTTTGAAAGTGATTTGACTTTTTTGGGTCTTAATAGCTTGTTTGGAAAGTGACAATACTAATTTTATATGCTCATAGTGAGAGAACTGTTGTTTCAGAGTGTCTTACTGAATGAAGTTCTTTTCATCTCTGTGAACTATGATTCTGTAATTTCTTCTTTAAAAAAAGAAAGAGTATGGGGGTGGAGGGATACTTGCTGAGCACAATTTTAGTAATTGATTTGCACTATTATAAAACAAAATTAAAAAATTGCTTCAAGCAGAAAAGGGAAGTTTTTTAACTTCCATTTTTTAATATATATTAAAAAATATATTTAGATTTTTTTCCTGATTTGAAAAGTAACATGAGTATAAAATTCAAAAAATAAAGACTCTGGAAAACAGTTTTGAAGTTTCTCAAGAAATTAAATGTAGAATTACCTAAATGTAGAATGACCCAGCAGTTCCATTTTGAGATATATATATATATACACACACTAAAAAAATACACTGAATTGGACACTTTAAAATGGGTACAGTGATAAATTTTATGTCAAAAATATTTTTGGCTTGTCTAAAGACATCAATACAGCATTCTTTATATGGGGGAAAAATTGAAAATAAACTATATGTCAACAATTTAAAAAATTTAAGTAATACAGAATACAAAAAGGGAAAGACAGGACTAATTTTAAAAATGAATTGTATAGGTGGATTCCTTAGAGATTTAAAAGAATCCGAATAATGAAGTAGAATTTCTTGTTGATAAATTCATATTTGTGTCAGATTGGAAAAGTGGGATTTTTGTTAGAAGGAAAACCAATGTCAGAGTAGTATTATTCATAATCCTGCAGTTAACTACTCATTGGAATTCGCTAACTGTGCCAGTTTCAGTCTGAACTTTTTTCTTTCATTCTGTAGACCGACCAGGGCATCAAAAACCTTTCGGTGAAAGATGCAGAAAGACTTTGCCAGCAGGACCCTGACTATGGCCTCCGGGATCTTTTCAATGCCATTGCCACCGGCAACTATCCCTCCTGGACATTTTACATCCAGGTCATGACGTTTTCTCAGGCAGAAACTTTTCCATTTAATCCATTTGATGTTACCAAGGTAGGTCAGTTAACAACCAGATTGTTTTCTTGTGTAAAGTCTCTTTGTACCTAATTTTAACTAATTTCCAGCATTCATCGTGGCCAGGAAATCACGTACACAATGCAGTGGGACTGCTTGCCAACCTCCTAGCCTGCGAATGAGTGCTTGCCAGTATCCCACTTCTAGCTCCTGGTTGAGAAATTCATGAATTCATACACTGTTATTAGCAGGAACAAATTTTGAAAAGCTGATGTAATTTTGCCCAGGGAAAGTGTCAGTATTTCCTGTTGACTGTTGTGAAAGATTTAACCAATGCACTTACCTTGAATTCTTATCATTTTATTGGATTAAACATTATTATTTTTCCTTGCTATATTTGAAAGGTGGCATTCTTGCGGGTTCTTTCGTTCCCTTCAGTCGGTTGTCTGGTAATTGTGGATACCACATCATTTTTAGGTTTGGCCTCACAAGGACTACCCTCTTATCCCGGTTGGTAAGCTGGTGTTAAATCGGAATCCAGTTAACTACTTTGCTGAGGTTGAACAACTGGCCTTTGACCCGAGCAACATGCCGCCTGGCATTGAGCCCAGCCCTGACAAAATGCTACAGGTAAGCCTGGTGGATTGAGAGGTGCTGAGGCAGGAGTGTGTGCGCGTGTGCCTGTGCGCGCACACACTCACACACACTCAAATGCACACTGTGTAATTTGCATGAAGAATCAACTAGAGCGTCATGTAAACTTTAACCTGGGTCCTTAGTCTATGGGGGACTGACTAAAACATTTTGAGACGGGCATTGCCGTATAAGCCAAACTTCATGGTAAAGTCCCTCAATATCTTAAGACTGACATTTAGTCCCTTAATTTAAGAGAAGTTAGATTAGAGATGCTGCAGGTATTTGTAAAGAAAGCACTCTTTGTCCAGACTGTACCTGATAGGAGGGAGTATTTGTAATTAATTATAAAACCTCAGTCAGCATCATTTTATTCATTTTTTCTTCCATGGTGATGCTTCAATGTTTCCATCTGTAAAAAGAGACCTGGACATGGTTTTCTACAATCTAAATTTGTGTTGTCAGCCATTAAAGGCAGTGGTTAATTTAACTGTTTGTCCTGAATGTTCCTGGGCGTTTGGTACTTTTTTGTCACTCTCCAACGTCCTCTTTTCTGTGTGCAAAGTGAAAATTCTTCTTTGCACTAGACGTCAGTAGGAAAATAATTGGCTTAATAATTATTGAGTAAGTAAATCAGTGTTTTTTTGCTTTTGGACTATGATCGTGAAACAAAAGTTAAAGATCATTACCTGGGGTCGGAATGTAGTGACTGATGACTGCTTCGGATGTAAGCATGTGAGTCCCGTTCAGGGGTTAGAGCTTGGAGGCCAGCTAAGAGTCCCCTGTTTCATTTAATAATAACTTTTTTGCTTTGACAGTGGGAATATCTGAGGCATTTATTGACAGTAAGGTTTTCATTAGTTTTAGTTACATTATTAATTTAGTATAAATTGAATACCTGTCTACACGTGTGATAGACTGTCCTGACCATTGTAACAGATACAATTACACAAGACAACTGTAATGCGAGGCAGAAGGCTGTGCTGAGTCAGGAGAGATCTCTGATAGGAGATGATGACAAAGTTTTGAGAATGAGGTAACATGGGGTGTGGCTCACGAAGAATGGAGAGGATTTTGATTTTTCCCAGAGGTAAAATGGGGCAGGAGCAGGATATGAATATAGGCACAAAGGCGGGCTGTGTTGGATATACTTAAACTGTAAGCAGCCACTCTTTCCTAAGGCGGAGGGAATAAGACTGGGTACGCTGAACATGTTACAGGGGATCTGAATGCTTGAGGAGAAGTTTATACAGTTATCTCTTCTAGGAAAAGAAAAGCTTTCTTCACTTTTGAGAAATGTGATCTGGTGTATATCAAGTGCAGTTATTCTGCCGGTGATAAATAAAAGACGAGGGATCTGGGATTTGGGAATGGAAAAGGGAAGTCTGGCAGATTTCAGAGGAGAAACGGGAGCGGCCACATTGAAACTAGGGTGTCGAGGAAGCCAAGACAAGTGTGACCCTGCGCCCCGAACCTCCCGTCTGGAGGTTGGAATGGAGCTGAACTGTGTGCAAAAGTGGTTGATGGGACTCCAGGGCACTGAACTGTCCTGGGTGGAGCTAAGACTGCATAACCCTTATACTGAGGGAATGGGCTGAGGAATGAAAGGTCATCCAAAAGCTTTTCACAGGAATCCAGGTCACCCTGGGTCTCGGAGACCACAGTGAGACCTGGAGTCAGCAAGCAAAACTGAGTCATACAGTTAGAAGAGCAGTGTACCTTTGGACGGAGGCCTGAGCCCAGGGAAAGGACCACATAGCAAATTGACATTCTCTGCACTGGCCAAAACCGAATGTGTGAGGCAGCTCATTGAAACTGGGGAAGAGAGTTCTGAAAAAGGACGATAAATGGAAGTCCTTTAATTCTATGAGTGAATTTAATCATATGAATGAGTTGTATAATACCTATTAGTATTAATTTCAGTTACAGCAAACATATAAGTTTTATGTTCTATCTATCTATCTATCTATCTATCTATCTATCTATCTATCTATCTATTTAACTGAGTTTTAAGAAGTGTTTGAAAGAGCTTCATTAGGTTCAGTCAAAATACTAGCTCCTAGTCTAGTTTTTCCTATAACTTCTTAGGTCATTTAGCTGCGAATTCTCATGCCACAAAGCATGTTAGGGGTCATGCAGGGAAGGGCTATTGTACTTACTTAGCCATTGGCTGACTGGTGAGGAATCGTTTATGGCTCTTGAAGTGGGTAAATAATGTAATCTGTGCGGGGCCTTAGGAAGATTCCTTTGGCAGGAATGTGGAAAATGACATTGTTGGAGGAGGGACCGGAAGTGAAGAACCAGCTAGGAGGACTTTGACATTTCTCCCAGGAGAACTGATGAGCACCTGAGGACGGTTATAGTTGTATATTAATGGACAGTGTTCTCAGTTACCTTTCAACAAGGTCACGTTAATAAATTTGAAAGTTTGTTACCCAAAGTGTTAAGCCAGGCCATGGTGAAAAGACAAAATAGTGTCACGTAAATCACTGAGAAACTGTCCCCTGAGTACCTGATGACACAGGTCCTCAGTCTTTCTCACTCCCATATTCCATAGTTGTCCAGGAGTGGAGAAGTTGGCCTGATTGCTTGAGTGGGGGGGAGCTGTGTTTTGCTCTCTGACCCGGGTCCAGCAAGGGAGCGAGCAGGCACGGGGCCTGGGTGAGGCCTAGATTCACACTGATGTCAGGCGCTGGACCTGCTGCGTCCATTTCCCAACCTCGGCTCTCCACCTGTAGGTGGGGTAGGTTGCTCTATAAACACAAGGTACCACAAAAGCAGAATTCAGTGATAGAAGCTGCAGCCAGGAGCTCTTAGGGCTCAGTAGTATCTTTTGTCTCATTGGTAAATTTAGAGCACAACTTGGTCTATTTTGAGCTAAAGGAGGAGCTCAGCTTCCAAACTATTAATGGATCTCAGCCATGCCTGCACAACCAGTCATCTAAAAATTACCCTGGACTATCTAATTACCCTGGAATGATTATGGGAGGTAGAGTTACTCAGCCAAGAGCGAACGATTGACAGAACAGTGAGACTGGATTAAACATCCATTGGTACAAAAAGTTTCATAAGTTGCTCTATTTAACTTGACTTTTATTTTTGCTCATGGAGTTTGGGATATAATAATAATAATCTCTCAAATTCAAAGTCAGTGATGAAGTCAGTAAGAGAGGACTGCTCACAAGGGTACAGCTTTGAATTATGAGAATATTTAAATAGTTGGATCCGAAGTGTAATGCAGTGTTAATCAAAGCTTTTTCTTTCAACACTAACTGGAAGAACTTTTAAAATGCTTACCATGCAGCCTTACTAAATATGTAACCGAATTTAATCTTTGATTCAGGACCTGTGGGATCGTATGGCTGTCACTTTGAACAATGGCTTTCTTTGTGTAATACTTTGTTTATAACTAGAAAGTCTTGGAGCTCAAAAGTATTTCTGACACAAATTAGAGTGCAACGTGAGAGTTGCTTTTTGTATAATGTACTGCACAGTAGGTTTTGTAGAAATTTGCTCCTTTTGTTAATGCACACAATGTCTGTTTTGTTTATGACTGTAGGGCCGCCTTTTCTCCTATCCTGACACTCACCGCCACCGCCTGGGACCCAACTATCTTCAGATACCTGTAAACTGTCCCTTCCGTGCTCGAGTGGCCAACTACCAGCGTGATGGCCCCATGTGCATGTTTGACAACCAGGGTAAGCCTAAGACACTTGGCTCCCGCTTGAGGGCAGAGGGCGCTGCCAAGCAGACGGTGGGGCGGCAGGCGGGTGTTTCCGTCTGGCCCCGCGGGACCTCCTGCTCTGTCTGGGAAGGTGCTCTACTGGTGCTCCTGCCAATCACGAATTTTTGCCCAGCAGTGAGAGTTTTAACTGTCTGAGGACTCTCCATACTATTATCTAAATATTTTATATGTTTTATAGAGAGTTCCACCTCTGATTTTACTTGCTATCCATCCTGTAGTGAAAGACAGGGAGAAAGAACTTTCACACTGATTATAAGCAGAGTAGCATCTAACGTAGGGGTTAAGTTTTGAAGACTTTTCACAAGTGGTCAATTCCTTAAATTACCAGGACTTTAGAATCTTGGAAGTCTGAAAGCCAAGGGCTCCTGGTTTATGTTTCTCTGTGCTTCTGCTGGGCCCATGGAAGGGCAAGTCTAGCTAGAATTTGGAGGGGTGGGGTAGGTTAGAAGCAGGGGATACAGAGCAAATCAAAGGACTCTCTCACACTGTTTTTTGTTAAGTGAATATAGTCAAATTCATATAAATCGACTGGTGAAATGAGACTACTGCATTTTGTTTCTTGCAGCCCATTGATCACATTTATGTTTTTTGTTCTTTTAACTACAGTTTTGGGTGCCATGTACAGTTTCTATTTCTAATTATTGATCTAATTAGAGATTGCTTAATGTTTTTTTCCTTTTAATATTGCACAGTTTAATACAGATCTTAGTTTCCTTTATTTTCCTATTTAGGACATGTGTTTTAGTAATAGGCTGCTTACATTGATCTTTTCAGAAATTTTACTATTCAGTTACATTTATAGCTCTAGATGTCTGTATTGAAACAGAGGTAATTTTTCTATAATAAAAATAATACATGTTCTATAAAGGAAATTTGGAAAGTATAAGGTAAAAAGAGAAGGCAGAAGAAAAATCCATTTGTAGTTCGAACACCCAAAGGCTATAACTGTTATATTTTGGTCTATTTCTTGCCAGCTTTTTCTGTGTATATTTTTTGTACACTTAAGATTATTTTGTATGTATAATTTTGGGCCTTGCATTAGTTACCATTATCACTAAGCTTTTTCCAGGTATTTAACAAGGATACATGCTCACTAACTATTTGTATTAGCTGGTTACCATATTTCTTCTCCCTGAGGATGATAAAGGTATGGAGTACGTTATTGCTGAAGGGAATTGATACTGTGTCTGTCCTCTGCATTTTTTTTTTAAGTGATTTTTTTTTCACTCATATTATTTGGTCCTTTTGTCATTGAGGCTGGCCATTATTGAGAGCTGTCCACTTGTGAAGAGTCAGAGAAGTTTGTGTATATTTTGGAACTTCATTAATAAGTAATTGCTTCGTGTTTACCATTTCCGTTTACCATTACAGTGGTATGCAGATGAAAAACTACTGGTGGATGTATTTGATATCCCTTTGCCTCCGTGTTTTAAAAATAAAGCATTTGGGCTGCACTCAAAGTCTGATGGAAGTCCTTAATTGTTCCCAATAGTCAGTGACTTAAAGACAACTCCCACTTTGAATAAAGGCCAGAGCTTATTTGGAAATAGAATTTAAAAAATACTCAGCTAGGCATATTTCAAGGAGCTAACACATAATGCAAAAAACCACTGCGGTGGCTGGTTATTGGACAACTTGGCTTTTCATATAATGTGGTTGACCTAGAATAAATTTCTTGAGCTGATGATTGGGCTCCATAATAGTATGCTGTCCTCCCTCTTCCTACATGCACTTGTTATCTCGAGAAATGTGATTAGGATGTACCTCCTGTTTATCTACTCAGGATAATCTGTTCAGGCAGTGTGCTGGGTAAAATTCCAACCCTAGACTAGTTTGTTAAAATTACTTAGTTTCTAGGTGATGTGAGTTCAGATAATTCAAGCTTTTGCTGATATAAGCCAAAGAAGAGTATATAGTTAGGAAAATAAATATGCCAAAAGGAGAAAAAAAAAAGGCTTCATATTTTTTCCAGAAGTCATAACAAATGTTTTGATTATATTTTTTACTTTTTTCCCCTTTAAGTCCAAATAAATGAGTACTGACATATTAGAAGTATTAAAGTTTTAAAAATTCCTTTTTTATTTATCTGTGGAGGGGAGTGAAAGTGAAGCTAAAATTGAATAAAGTCATAATCAGTAAAGGAGAGATACCAACCTTTAACAAAAAACTAAGCATATAGTGGGAGTATAATGTGTGCTGGAAGGAAAGAGTCAAAGAACCCAGAGTTCTAATCCCAGATTTACCACTAATTGCCTTGTGACTTTGCAGCAGTTAAGATCTCAGGGTTCAGTCACTGAAGGAGCAGAGCTAGAACTTTGAGTTCCTCCCAAGAATTCTGGGATTCACTGTTTGAACTGAGCCTAAACCTACATGATATCCTAAAAGTTGAAATGTGCCTTTGGTTCTCACTTTCTGTGGGGGTCAAAGCGAACCTGTATAAATTTATTGGTACTGGCAAGCATCAGATTTCACAGATCAGATAGTTTGAAGTGTTTGAGGGGAATTTGAGATCTCTTCATTAAGTCTCAGCGTGAGACAGCCCACACGAGCATTTGGAAGAAGGCAGCGTACTCTAAGAAACTGAGTATTGCCTGTAGGTAAATATGGTACATGAAAAATAACATGTGCATAACATGTATATGTGTGTACCATATGTGTGTATGTATATGTGTGTGTGTTTGTGCATGTCCTTTTTTTTAAACCTCCCTAAGTGGACCTGTGTGGTTTTCCTTTAAAGGTGGTGCTCCCAATTACTACCCCAACAGCTTTAGCACGCCCGAGCAACAGCCGAATTACGCCTGGGAACACAGCGCCTCGTTCTCTGGGGATGTGCGGCGCTACAACAGTGGCGATGAGGATAATGTCACTCAGGTAATAACTTCTCTGTCTGCTCTGGGAGTCACTTAATCATCCTGCTTCTCGATGTCTGCTGATTCCTCCCCCCACCAAGTCTCTAATATGTCTTAAATTGAATTCAGGGAAGACACCTCTAATCATAAACCAGTCCTTTCTATTTGATGAGGTTGAACAGTTGTGTTCCTCTGCTCTTTTCCGTTCAAGGTACAACTCATTTCAGTTCCTCTAAATTTTATTGAGGGGATAAAGTGAAGGCCAGTGGGGAAGAAGTGCTTTCATGGAAATCTAAGAAATGGGCAAGTAAAGCTTAAGTGCAGCCAAGTCTAAGAATCTGGGCAGGACTGACAGATTTAATAGACTAGAGCTGGATTCAAAATAGCTCCAGCTGTCTCAGTAGCAAGAGGGTAGGTGTTTCCACCGCAGGGCTCATCGTTCAAATGACCCTCCTACTCCATCTCTCTGTTTCTGTGATCCTGTACTTTTCTCCTCTCTGCCCCGTAGCTTCTGCTTTAACATGGCTGTGGCTTTGCTATGGCCACGGCCTCACTCTTCTTTATGGCTTTCTTCTCCATATACTACTTTTTTTGGACTTCTTTTGCTTCTCTCATTACTTCTGTATCAGATTCTGGAGAGAAGGTATCAGATTGACCTGACTAATCTTTTCATTCTAGCTGCCTCGCTCACCTTTGGCCAGTTTATTGTAGTTAACTGCCCTGGGTCCAGTACCCTCCCTCTCTCCTGTGACCTCTGGCTGCCTAAGGGCTATTCTTTCAGTAGGTGCAGTGAAAGAGGCCCTGTGACTTTGAACGGCAGCCACCTCCTTAAAGTGCTCAGTATGACATACCACACCCAAGAAAAGAGTAAAGTTACAAAGTATAGCTGTCCTATAGCTCTGTTTGGGTAGTTGGTGTTAAACTTAGTGTTGAAACGAGAATATTCCCACTTTCACATTTTGTAAATGTGGGTTTCAAGTAAAATACATATGTGAATTAATTCACTATGAAGAAAGATACCTTTATTTGAAAGACATTTATGTATATACATATATGTGTATATAAAAAAGAAGATACTTGTAGGTTATAAACCATATTTAGTTGAAATTAAACATCACCTGAAAGGCCTTTTATAGTAATGTCTTTACTCTTGGTGTGCCAATGATACCAAGTATATTATGATACAGTTCCTACCTCTCAAATAATTTGGCCTAATGAGGTCTTGTCCAGTGTTAAACTAGCAAATATAACCTTTGCAAAAACTAACTTAAATTATTAGGCTATTGCTTACACATTAAAAATTACAAGGTAATCAGCCCTGGCTGTTGTGGCTCAGTGGATTGAGTTCTGGCTTGCGAAGCAAGGGGTCACTGGTTCGATTCCCAGTCTAGGGCACATGCCTGGGTTACAGGCCAGGTTCCCAGTGGGAGTCATGTGGGAGGCAACCACACATTGATGTTTCTTTCCCTCTCTTTCTTCCTCCCTTCCCCTCTCTCTAAAAGTAAATAAATAAAATCTTAAAAAAAAAAATTACAAGATAATCATATTTTGTTGAGAGATTTTGTTATCACCGCATAGAACTCATGTTTTTAAGTAGTCATGATACTGCTTATAGGTTTATAGCATAATCCTATAATAATAAGAGTCACAGGGGAACAAAATAAGACGGTCCAGATTTATACTCTTAAAAAATGATTCACTTGGATTTCCACTTCTGGCTTAGGGCGGATTAGCTTGTATCAGGCCTAACCTTTCATGGTGGATATTGGAAAGCTAGATAAAATACAAAAAGCATCTGTTTGAAGGCTTTGGAAAGCTAACAAAGCAACAAGGATTTGAGCAGCCAAGATCTTGGACAGAAAAGTAGTGCAGAGATGTGAGCTTGGCATTCGGTGTTCTTTCTAATAAGGCATTTATTACTTTGTAAGCATTGGCCAAGATGCTGAGCAGAATTTACAGCATTTTTATGGGTCTGCAGGGATAAAAATTGCAGTTCAGGGTCTGTGAAGGAGGAGGCTTTCAGTTAGCATTCAGGCTTTCAGTTGAAATCCCTAACATGCTATTCCTAAGAATAAGGGAATACTGTAAAGAAACTTACCTTCCCAAAGACTAAGACACAATTTTGCATCAGCTCAGTCTCAGACTGGATTAAGACAATCTCATTTTATCCTACCTGTGTGCCAGAACCGAACACAGCTATTTGGAGGAAAATAGAGCCTCAGATTGTCTCCACATTTTTTTGTATCAAATGACCAGCATTCAGTAATTACCAGGCATACCCAAGACATAATACCTTATGTAACTGTGATTAATATGTTCAAGGAAAGAGATGACAATGTAGAGAATTTAACAAGAGAACTTTAGTCTATACAGTAAGAATTGAATGAACTTAACTGGAAAATACAACTGAAATTAACAACTTAGTAGATGGGTTTACAAGGAGATTAAACACCGCTGAAGAGAGTATTGGTAAACTGGGAGCAGCAGGTATTATCAAGACTAGCTCATGAAGAGAAAAAGAACTTTTTGAGACTCCATTCAGAGATGACAAGACAAGCCACTGAGTGGGAGAATGGAGCTCAGTTCATCTAACAGATGACTCACGTAAAGATTGTATGAAGAACTGCAGAACAATGAGAAAAAGACAGACAAATGAATAGAAAAATTGGCAAGAAACTTGAATAGGCACTTTGCAAAAGAGGACAGACATCCAGGATGCTGAAAAATATGGAAAGGTGGTTTAACTCACTAGGAACGTGAAAAATAAAACCGCAAAGAAATACCTCAAGTTACCCACCAGAGGGGCTAGCATGAAAAAGACTGACCATACCAAGCATTGGTAAGAATGAGGAACAACTCTAACTCTCCTATAATGACCATATTTCCCAGAGAATATTTCAGGCTCCCAACATGTTGCCACTGAACCTGTGGCACTGGAAGTGATGTTCACTTTCCCGCTTTTATATTGTATTTCTACCATAGAGATACTAGTAGACACAAATAATATCAAGAATATAGGTAATATGTAATAATTAGGAAGTGATATGTTTTGAGGGTTTATTACTTTTGTCTGTAATGTCATTTATCTACTTGTAAGTTTATATAACTTAATTTTTAGTAATGGCTGTGTTCAATAAGTCACTCACAGAATTCTTAAAAATTTGACAATTTGCTCTCATGAGCAAGCTGGCTGCAGCGTACCACTGGACTTTCAGGACCAAATTTCTTTTAGGTCAGGGTGGTATTGGGTTGGCCAAAAAGCCTGTTTACTTTTACCCGTAAAGTAAAAGATACATTTTTCATTTTATCAGTAACTTTATTGATTTGGATATTTTGAGTATGTCTGCTACCTCCTGCTATTGGCTTCTAGTGGGCAGAGGCCAGGGGTGCTGCTAAACCTCTTCCAATACATAAGACAGCCCCACGGCGAAGAATTATTTGGCCAAAAAGTCAATAGTACAGGAAACTTCACAAACCACTTTTGATTAGTTTGATCAGTCCCAGCATCTTCTCCATACACTGCACATTTTTTTTGTGTTTCAGTTGCGTTCTTACCTCCCTTGAAATAATCATAATATGTGGAAAGTGTTGCATATCTTTTTCTATCTCAATATTAAAATGGCTGCACAAAAACTCACCACTTTTGGTAAGTTTTTTTAAAATGCATGCTGATATGACAGCTGTCACAATACAATCCGATATAGTTGTTTTGAATGAAGTTAAAGACAACTAAGCACTATGAGAGCCATTGTATGGAAAAAACTAAACGACCTTTTTGGCCAACCCAATAGATGGAGGTGACATAGTAGGCCTTTCTTCTACTTTTCACACATACATGTTAGATTAAAAATGAAATTTAAAAGAATGTATTTGAGTTAGCAAACAAGTTCAATCTCCAGCTCCCAGAAATGAAAAAGGAATCAGAGTAGTGTGTGAACATTGAAGGCATGTGAGTATATTTCATGGGGAAAACCAAACCGTATTTACATTTCAGTAAGGTTTTACACTCCCAAGGGGCTAGGAGTTGAGGCCTCCGGCTTCCTGTATCGCAGAGAGCTAGCAGTCGGCTCTTGACATAATGATGAGAACCAGGGGCTGGCACTTCATTGGAAAAACTACCCACCAGGCTGAGGGTGCATCTTGGAAGCATGTGGGCTCTAGATGGAAGCGAACAATCCTGAGAAGTTGGGGTCTTTCTCCTATGTGGTGCTCAGGTGAGGCCCCTGCATTCTTGGCCCACTTAGGGTCCGACAAAAGCCCTGAACTGAGAAGCAATTAATAAACATTGTTAGGCCTCTGCAAATGTGATGGAAAAAAGTTACCATATGAAGATACCTTCACAACTCGCATACATTTGGGACTTCTGCAGATGGTAACTCCTGTTGAAAATGAGTCAAGGGAGAAATTACATATAAGGAAATCCAATGCCCTGAGAAATTGCACATGCACTAGATGGAAGAATTATACACAATAGAATATTCTAAGAGAGGGTTTACAATAAGCATGTTGGCAGCATTCAAGGAGATACAAATAAGAATGTTATCCATGAGACAAGAGTAGGATGTGGGAAGACAAGAACAGATTTGAAAAAGAACTAAATTGAAATTTCTAGAAACAAAAAAAATAGACTCTTTGAAATAAAAATCCAACAGGTAACAGTGACTCAGTGGGCATGTAAACAGTATGTTATACACAGCTGAAGAAAAAATTGGTGAATTGGAGACAGATCTGAGGAAATCCCCATAATATAGTACTTGGATTGTATTGTGTTAATATCAAAGTCTGATTTCTGAAGTTTGTATCAGATTTAAACTTTGCTTAAATTAAAAACAAACTTTATTACGACCTATTTCATAACTTAGAAAAAGCTATGAATACCTCAGTATCTTATAAGTGATATTTTGGATAGTTGGATATTTTTGGATTCTATAAACATTAACAGCAATACATAGAACAACATGGTTCAACTCATGGAACAACAACTCAATAAATAAGTATTTGTTGAATGAATGAGTGAAATGTTAGGATAAAATTATACCTTATACCCTAGAAATGGTTGATTTCAGAAATGAGCAGAGGCTTTTAGGACTCATCCCTGATACTTAGCTCCTATTTTTTATTTTAATCTATTGTTATTCATTTTAGAGGTAAACCCAATAATCTTAAGAAAATATCACTATTAACATCTATCTGCTCCAAGAAATCTTGGCTATTGAATAACTAAGGATATATGAATGAATTAGAGTTTTTCCTTCTGTAGTTCTGGGTACAGAATTGAAAGGTTGTGTTGAGTTCACTGTACATTTGATGATCATTTGCACATTCTAGGCTTGTCAGTATTAAGAATATGGTGGGATTTTTAACTGTAGGCTATTTTGCTTTGTAAAGTTTGCTAGCAGTGACTACAAAGAACATTATTAATTGCAGTTAGGAGCTATTATCAACAACTGAAGTCCTCCTATTTTGCTTAAAATAAAACAAAAGGTGAGGAACTCAACACAAATAACACTTTCAGCAATAATTTAAAATTATTCTTAAAGTCTGAAAACTTTCAGTCTTATGCAAATGGGAAGTCTCACTATTTCATTTCAAAAGTAGCACATTGGGTGAGTTCTGATTTTTCTCCCCCTGTATTTTCATTGAGCAGGTGCGGACGTTCTATACGACCGTACTGAATGAAGAGGAGAGGAAGCGCTTGTGTGAGAACATTGCCGGCCATCTGAAAGAGGCGCAGCTTTTCATCCAGAGGAAAGCGGTGAGTGGTGCTGTGGAAGCTGAAGGGTGACATCTGCTGGCTGGAGCAGAGAGTGCAGCTGTGTAAGAGAACCCGTAAAAGGAAAAGTGCCCTTTCTATTTTACTTGAGCGAAGTACACTTAAAAAAATTTGAGCTAAGTTCCCATCAGCCTCTGTCTACCTTCTCTCCTGTGGATATGGCATATCCGTTAGTCCTCAGCTCTTTGTCCAATGTGTAATTATTTAGTGGAGTTCGGGGGAGTTCTTTCCTACACCGTTACATTCGACCGTGGCCAAGTTCTGTACAGGAGAATAATATTCAATATCAAGGTGTGGGTCCTGTCACGGTTTTGCTTTGAATTTGGATGATAAAAAACTCAGATTACATTTCTGTGCTTTCAAGCCTGCCCATCCGCTTAAGGTTGTGACCCTGACCCTGTTTCAGAAGCATCTGGAAACTTGCATGTTTTCAGGGCTGAGAACTGGGCTGCTTCCGAAAGTCAGGTTGAACTTTTGAGCTGAGGCGCCACGCCTTTCTGGTGGCAGCTCGTGGTGCTGTGTGAAGCGTCCTCGCTTGTGGTTTCCTGGCCTGCCACGGGGGTTAGCTTCTTGTAAATTTAGGAAACTCCACTGTTTTCTTGCCTCCTGGTTGCTGCTTCTGTGTTCACAGGGGCAGCTGGGCCGGCAGCTGTCCTGGATGTGTTCGAAGGCCTGGAGACAAGTACTAGCAGGCCGGGTACTTTCTTTTGTAGGCAGAGTTCTCTGTCTGTAACTACCTTTTATGAGTGTGTGTGTAAAAATAGTCCTTGAAATCTTTGTGGCACTGTTTACTTATTGCTATCTCCAGCAGAGAGCTGGACTGTTGGTGAGATAGCTGGGGCTCGTTTTATCTCATCTTACTGATGAGAATGATTAAGAGGGCTTGTAAGGAGCCATACTCTCAGCATACTTCTCACATATGCTGAAGCTGTAAGGCTCTGTATATATTTATGATGCCCCACTCCTGTCTTCTGTCTGCTTGGGCCAAGCCCATCACTGGGAATTCTTGCTTGAAGTGTATGGAATTGCCTTGCAAATGGCAATGACTTTGTATACTTGAAATTCAGGCAGTGTCTGGGCCCGTTTCTTAATACAAATCACTGTAACTTGAGTTACTCTGAGGTCAGCTCTTCACATGCAGTCAATGCAGTTTGCCTCATATGCATTTTTCTCACAATAGTCTGTGAGGTGGATGAAATTGTCTTATTCATCTTACGGGGGGTGGACATGCTCAGGGGGTTGATCAGCTTATGCCTGAGTTTTCACTGGGCCCTCAGCCTCTCCCTCTGTTGCCGATCACTGTGTGGTTCTACCTCCTGAGGAAGTGCCCCACCTCCCCTGGAGTAACCACCATGAGACAGACACTGGGGACCGGCCTAGTAGGCACTGAGGGAATGTTTACATTTATTTTCAGGTCAAGAACTTCACTGATGTCCATCCTGAGTATGGGGCCCGCGTCCAGGCTCTTTTGGACAAATACAACGCTGAGAAATCTAAGGTGAGCCCAGTGCAGAGGTGAGCATTAATATAATAAATTAATGTAATTTGACGCTGGGCAGGAGGCCCAAATTATTCATTTGGAGGCAGAGCATGCCTGGATTAGACTAGGCATGGTCTGGTTTCCTTTTGGGATGATTCTCCTCTGGAACAACTCTTAGACTTCCGAAGCAGCTGTTCAGAAACTCGTTTGATATATAAAGAACTCACCTGCAAAACACATGCTCTTCGTTTTAGCTCTGTACAATATTAGATAGTTTAAGGTGAATGAGTTCTGAATTGTTATTATTTTCAGTGGAGCACAAATTAAAGCTAAGGTTTTACCAGGTTGCTGCTGCCAAGGGAGTTCATTAATCTGCTGGTCTTGTTCTTTTGAAACAGAACGCGATTCACACCTTTGTGCAGCACGGGTCGCCCTTGGCTGCAAGGGAGAAAGCTAACCTGTGAGGGTCGGAGCCCTGGTCAGGGGCCAAGTTGTTCGCCGCCTGTGAAGCAAAGCATGGTATTCACACACATAGTCCACTCACCGCTGATAGAAGAGTCTTCTGAGCTAGCTGTGCAAATGCAAGTCTTTAAAGTGATCATCTAGGTTTCGATAACAAATAGTGTCATAATGGCTTTTAATGCTATATCCTTAGGGGAAGATGAAGATTAGGGCTAACAATCATTTAAAAGAAACATGTATTTGCTTTTGACAATTGCTTGGATTATTTACTTACAGGGACTAGAATGAAAGTTTCTAGCAGCAATATAATTTTAGTTGATAAGATAAAATAAATGAAATGAATATGTTTACATATCATCTCATGGCCTATTATAGAAAAATATGGATGCAGTTATATATGAAGAAGAGATAAAGATAATTCACTTAGAAATTTAATTTTCCTAAGTTCCTTATAGGAAAAACACATTTAAAGCCTTAATGTCTTTTGAAAATAACTTAAATACCATCATGGTTTAATGGTTATTTCTTCTTTGAATTGATCAGATTAAAACAAAAAACAACTTGGAATTACATGTATGCTAATACAACATTAATTTTATAATAGAATGATTTGTAATTATCACATTTTTACAATAAAATAATCTTTACATAAGAATAGAAGAATGGCATTTGATTTCTTTCATATAACTTGGAATGTTCCACCAGACTCCAAATCTGAATATCATCTGCTATCAGATGCTTACCTTTAAAACTGAAAATACTAGTATCATGAGGATACTATGTTATTTGTTTAAATCAGTAGCCTTTAGACACTGGGGACCAGAACTTCAGTTCTATTTTGAAAGTAGCAAACTTTCCAACTTTGAAAATTACTTAGATCCCTCATCTATCAGCCCACTTCCTTATCTGCTTATGAGTTTATAAAATAAGGGCTCAGAACCTCAAGTCCTTTTCTTTTATCTTTTTAGGCCCATATTTGCCTATCATGCTTGAAAAATCAAATGGACACTTTAAAGATAAATTCTGAGTACTAAATGAAAACCTGTTTTTCTTAAATCCCTACTCCCTTCATCTCAGATCTTCAGAACCATTTTGTATTTGCTCTTAGGGATGCCCCGAGCTCTTCGGCTTCAGGAAACCACGAGGCCGCTAGCACATACAAACTCTCAGTCTTGTGGCTCCCACTTCTTTTCCCTCCTGTCAGGCTCCCCTGCCTGAATTCCTCCTATACTTGAGTACATTTGTACACATAGAAAGTAAGTTTATCCATTTGTACCTAATGGTGAATACTTTCAATATGGCAACTTTACGATAGTTTTATCTCTTGATAGTATTAAATATAGAAGATCAACTGATAAAAATTAATATAATTTGACACTGGGCAGGAGGTTATTCATTTGGATATTGGTTATAAACAGAAAGACTGAATTTTTGAGGTAATTTTCTGCTTTGTTGTATTCTGTAGTGTAAAAATAAGGGGATATTTAAAATCACATGTATCTATCATTTTCTTATATGTAAAAATATGACACATGGAAGCGCCTCCAATTTTATTCTGGAAACCTCTTTTGTAATTTTCAAAGATAAATATTGATGAGGTTCACTTCCCCAGTTAGGTTTTACTTCCTAGGAGATACTATGTCATTATATTCCTTTTAAACGACATTAAGGTAATGGGACCCGTGGTGATGGCTAGCCGGTAATGATGGCAAAAGTGCAAGAATGCAAGAAAGGGACACCTACCGTTTTTCCTTCCTCAGGATTTTGGAATTGTAATTGCACAGGCATGTTTCCAGCCGTTATGTCTATTATGCTCACGAGTATTGGCCAAGGCAAGTCTCATGACTAAGCCAAAGTCAAAGAGTGAAGAAATGTACTCTACCCTGGAGCTCTGTGTGTGTGGGGGGAGAGAATATATCTGAACAACTTAGCATAGACTTCCCCTCCCATCCATTCTTCGGCACTACTGGAAATGCCACTGGTCATCACCCTCTTTATGCCATTACTTCTCTTCTCACTCTGTTTAGATTTTATAGTTTAAAGTCCTAATTATTCCACAATCCAGCCTTGGTAGAATATGCCTCTTCCTTAGCTCCCGCACCAGAGCGGCTGCAGCAAAGCAAAACACAGCCCTGCCGACTGGACATTTACAAATTTGACCACAAACCTCAAGTGGACCCTGGGCGCTGTGTGGAAACCTGTCTTTCCTTCCTCAGTAAACTCTCCCACGTGTCTCCCCCGTCCCTCTCAGCTCCTTACTTCACAAGAATGGGATAACTCCCTTATCTTTTCTTCCGCCCAAGCCCTCCAGCTTGCTCCCATTGACAGCCACGTGCGTCTTCCCTTCCCGGTGACAGATGAGCCCGCCGCACACGCTGAGGGCCAGCCCCTCATATGCTCTGGTCCCTTACTCCTGCCTCTGGAATTACCCCTGTCCTCTCTTGCATTATCAGCTCTTCCCTTCTTAATATATCACTCCTCTTAGTGTGTAAACCTGCTGTTACGAGGCTCCTCAAACCTTCTCTTGGTCTCATAGACTTCTCCCGTTACTCTGCCCTTTATTCTGCTCCCCTTTATTGAAAAATATCTTAAAAGGGTTGCCTTTACTTTGCCATCTCCACCATCTCTGTCCTCTCTTATAGCCACTTCAGTCAGGCTGCCCTTGCCAAAATCACTAATGACTTTCCTGCCACTAAAATCTAATGGTCCCATCTAGCAACCCCACTTTTGGGTACATACCCAAGAGAAGTGAAAGCGGGGACTCGAAGAGATATGTGTGCACCCAGTGTGCACAGCAGCATTACTCACACTGGCCAAAAGGTGGGAACAGCCTAAGTGTTCCCCGGTGGATGAATGGATGAACAAAACTGCGGTGTAGCCAGACAAGTGGAATGTTATTCAGCCTCATAAAGGAAGGAAACTCTAACATACTGCAGTGTGAATGAAGCTTGAAGACATGATGCCAAATGAAATAAGCCGGAGATAGAAGGATGCAAATTGGTATGATTCCACTTACAGGAGGTACCTGGAATAGTCAAAAACAGAGAGAGGGGAAGTAGAAAAGTGCTTGCCAAGGGCTAGGGGAGGGAGAGAGAGGGAATCATTGAGTAATGGTTACAGAGTTTCGTTTTGGGAAGGTGAGAAAGTTCTGGAGATGGCTGGTAGTCATGGTTGCACAGCATTGTGAATACATTTAATGCTACTGAACTCTACACTTCATAAATGGTTAAAATGGTAAATTTTATATGTATTTTACCACAATAAAAATAATGCAATGGCCTATTCTCAATCCTTGTCTTATGTGGCCTCAGCAGTTTTTAATCATTGGCACTTTCTTTTTATTAGTAGCTTTTTTGGGATGTAATTCATGCACCATAAAAATCATCCACTTAACACGTACATTCATTGGTTTTTAGTATATGCGCGGAGATATGCAATCATCTCCACATTTAATTTTAGAACATTTTTTGTCACCCCCCCAATGTCCTGTACCCGTTAGCAGTCACTCACCATTCCCCCCAACTTAATTCTTCCCCCATCCCTTGGCCATTATGAGTCTATTTTCTGTCTAGGTTTTCCTACTCTGCACATTTTGTTTAATTGGAATCGTATATGATCTTTTGTGACTTACTTGTTTCACTTAGTATAATGTTCTTGAGGTTCTTACTTGTAGCATGTATCAGTACTTCATTTTCTTTTATTGTCAAATAATTTTCCATTGTATGGATATGCCAGGTTTTATGTAACCTTTCTTAGTGGAGAGGCATTTGGGTGTTTTCTACTTTTTGGCTATTATAAATAATGCTGCTATGAATATTCATATACATGTTTTTGTGTGGACACACATTTTAATTTCTCACATTCTCATCTTCTTAAAAAACAGTTTCATTTACCTTCTAGACCCTCTCTGAAATTAACTCTTGGGTCCTGGCTGGTGTGGCTCAGTGGACTAAGCACCACCCTGCGAGCTGAGAGGTTGCCCGTTCGATTCCTGGTCAGGGCACATGCCTGGGTTGTGGGCCAGGTCCCCAGTTGGTGTACGAGAGGCAACCAATTGATGTTTCTCTCACATATCAATGTTTCCCTTTCTTTCTTCCTCCCTTTCCCTCTCTAAAAATAAATAAAAATCTTTAAAAAAAATTGACTCTCGGTATCTTAAAGTTTATTTGCTCTTCTGAAAGGAGGATTTGGTATGGGCTTTTAGAAGCACTGTGAAAGATTACCTTAATTTCAAAGTCAATGTCAGAATTTTGGTTTAAAAATACATGAATTTTTTTTTTATCTGATAAAGGAGCATCAATCTAATTTGTCATCTCTGCTAAGAAGGTGAGTTTTATGAACTTAGCACTCACTTTCCTGAGGAAAAAAAAAACAATGGACAAGTTGCTGGGCCATTTCTTTGCCTCTAGTTAATGGTATTACCAAAAAGCAAAGGGCCAAATTCCACTTTAAATAAGACAAATTAAAGGTTTAAAATTCTTATCGGAGGTTTTAAAGATGTGAAGCATTGGCAGAGGTGAACTAAAAAAGTTCTGTATTCTCTTGAACTTTTGGGAATTTTAAACAATCATATCCTCATGAAGCAAGTTGGCTATGGAAAGCTCTATTGTGACCCTTTCTACATTTGACTTGACTGTTTGATTAGTGAATTTTGCATTGTCTATTTTCATTTTTTGCTCTTTTGCTTTGGTATTGTTTGCTTAAAGTGTGGTATTTTCAACAGTCTTTTGTATTTTCTGTTCTTCAGTGACTTGTATTATTATGAAACTGTATGTTTAAGTAAAACCCACATTTTAAAGGGTATAGTGGGCTGAAAGATGGTCCTCGAAAGGATATGTCCACGTCCTAACCCCTGGGACCTGTGAAAATGATCTTTGGAGAAATAGATTTTGGCGGTGTCATTAGGTTAAGGGTCTTGAGATGGGATCATCCTGGATTACCTAGGTGGCCCTGAATCCAATGATAACTGCCCTAAGAGAGCAAAGGGGAGAGGGAGGGGTAGGGCATGTGAAGATTGGAATTTTATGGTCACAAGCTAAGGAACGCCTGGGGCTCCCAGAAATCTGAAGAGGCCAGGACGGGTTCATCCCTAGAGCCTGTGGAAGGAGCATGGCTCTGCCCACACATTGACTTCAGATGCCCAGCTTCCAGAACTGTGGAGAATAAATTTCTATTGTTTTAGGCCACCAAATATGGTGATTTGTCTTGTATAACCCTAGGAAGCTATTGCAAAGAGGATGCCGGTTTAATGGTTTTATAAAGTGATAACTTCCTGAGTAACAGAGGGATTTGTTTTTTCATTCTCTGAATTGCCTGATGCCTCCTCTAGGGTGAGACAGCATCTCTTGGGTGATGGGTTACTCCTCAGTCCTGTTCACTGCTGCCTGCTCTGTCCCTGCCTCAGTCCCCGCCGCCCCCCTGAGCTGCTTGACTCTGCCAGGCTCTTTGCCTGAAAGCTCCCAGTTCCCCTCTTGTTAGCTAATTTCCAATTTCCTGGACAATCTCTTTCAACTTGATTGTGGGCTTTGTTCCAGTCCATGAATACAGTACTTACCTCTTTAGATGGCCAGGGCAGGGGTCCCAAATTCAGAATATACAAGATTTCTGGATGTAGAAACAAACCACGATAGTGCAAAAACAAAGCTGACCCTCTGGAAGGTGGT